ATATTTTGTTCTCAAGGAGTTTCTATGCTATGAGTAGATATGCAGACTTTATTTCAAAATATAAAACAAAATATAAGCCAATAAATAAAACCCCAAACCATCTGTTTTCCTCTGGTTGAGTCTATCCTGGCTTTTATCTATTCTTGACCCTTTTCAAGGCAATGAAATGTACTTTCAGTAACACACTATGTGTTTGGTCACCATGACAATCAAACAGAATAAACTATGTAGCTGTTCTTTTCCAAAATGAGGTTGCCACAAAATTACATAGCAATTTTGTATTTAAAATTTAAAAGAAGTAATCAGTGTGATGGAAGGATACAACACCACCTATGACATACTCTTATCAAAAAATTCAGTTAAGTCAGATCAAGCCTTTAGATTAAACTATTAATACTGATTTTTAGTATATCTGAAGGAAAGAGGATAACATATGCTACTGGAATGTCGTAACCCGAACCACTGGGACACAATGCCAAACCACACTGTGGAAAACTAAAGGATAAAAGACAGTTTTTTCAGCAAAAAAAGGACAAATAAGAAAGATGTATGGGGAGCCTACGGATGTATCAGACCTTGTTTGCATCTGGATTTAAGCACACAGATTGCACAAAAGATAAAAAGCAAAAGACAAAACCTAAACCTTTCATGACATTTATGAGACAGTTCTAAATTTGACCACTATCTGGATATTTGACACTGAGGAATTACTTTTTAAGATGCGATAATAGTGTCGTGTATGTAGTTTACTTTTGTTTTGTTTTTTAAGTATCTTTTTGAGTTGTATACTAGAAATACTTATGGGTAAAATGTTAAATTGTCTAGAATTTGTTTCAATGTAATATAAGTGGAGAGGAGGAAGCAAGAGATGAAATAAGATTGATCATAAATTGACTAGGCACAATGGCTCACACCTGTAATCCCAGTACTTTGGGAGGCTGAGGCGGCAGGATCGCTTAAGGCCAGGATTTCAGGAGCAGCCAGGACAACATAGCAAGACCCCACTCTAAAAAAAAAATTAAAAAAAAATTGACCCTGGCCGGG